TGCTAATTGGTCGAGTAATTTGTCTCGAGTCACTCGGTTCCAAATCGTTTTATCGCAAACGGCAACTCTAGTAGCCCTAACGGCAGGGCAGGCTATGGGCGTACTGGTGTCATGAATGGGTGGGTCTTCATTTAGTAGGAGGAGCTGTGTACAGGTTTTACCAGCTCCAGGAGCACCAAGCATATTAACACGAGTAACAGTTAGATCAACACTCCCTTCCTCCATCCACTTCCCTACAGCATCTATATAATATAATGAAATAGTATAATTAATAAACATAGCAGGAACTGTGTTGTGTATACACAAAGAGGTCTATTACATTATTAGATTAGTGTGTGTTACATTAGTGAGTGTATTACCTAACCATTACTGATTGTGTGTATGCACTTATGATTGCTGTACTACAATGGATTCTGTTATGATTGTGAAAAGGTTTTATGAAAACAATATATGGTTAGGAATCTCATTAGCCGCTAATACATGAAATAGAATTATTTATTGGCCGGCAACCATGAGCGTACTTCACATGAGTGAAACATGTGTTTGGTACATGTACATGTACATGTATGTGTTAATACCTTGTATTCTTCTCTTCTGATATTTATTAATGTCCAGTACTGACTGTACTACCAAATCACCAGTACTAGATACTAATAATAATAATAATAATAATTTGTCACATAGTTATTTAAGAGTGGGTGCATAGATAATATACTACATGAAAGGGATTGGAAACCACTGTTCGCGGCAGGAAATGCTAGTTGTCAATACCATATTAAATTGTACGCATTATTAGAATAAAATGGTATATGAAAAATTGAAATAGGGTTCTGCAGTCTTGGTGAAGGCACTTCTCTGCTGTTTTCTGAACACCAGAAACGAAATATGATAGCTTCTTTGCTATTGACTATTTTCTCAATGATTTTTACAAATAGTATTCCTTGCATTTAAGAAAATCACTAGCTACAAAAGTGTTAGAGTCATATAAAACCAGGAGCCCTGATAAAACTGATAGATATGTGCAAATGAGAAAATAATTATATAAAATATGTATGGTAGAATTCAGATGTAAAAATATCTTATTAACCTCCGCAATAGAATTATATATCTGTATAAAAAATTTGAAGGCTGAACTATATGAGGCCATCGAATTAAGGGTATAAAACAAAAGTAATTTTTTAGACAACATTTAGCCATGGATTTACAGTGATAAGTTATTTCTCTTTAAAAAGGGCCTATTAACCTCAGTTTTGTAGCTACTTAAATGATCATAAACTTATATGGAAGATTAAACTAAAAGCCTCAGAGAAAAAGGTACAAAACAAAACTGACAGTTAGGACAACTTGACAGGCACACTTTAGGACAGGATTTCATACAGACCACAAGTGCAGTCCTCTTGAACCAGGTATCAATGGATAGCTAAAGCCTTGATCTCTTCGTCTGTCCTAAAACTATAGCAATAGTTCATATTAGACATGAATTATAAGCTGTAAACTGCAGTGAAGATCCTCCATTTTGCTCATTTCGCGGGCAACTTGCATACGTCGCTAGGCAACGCATTACATTCCATGTAATTTCCCGGTGGTTTCCAATCCCTTTCATGTAGTATATTATCTATGGTGGGTGTGGATAAAAGTTGCCCCACCCACAAATACACACACTGTCAACAATCCAATCTTAGTAAAATTCACACTTTTAATGCTATACAGTAAATTAATTTTAGTACGCGTGTACAATCGTACATAAAGCCACACCCTCACTCATTCTTTATTGTAACATTATTATTATTACATATTCAATACACATTGTATCTACTAATGTATACATGTACTCACTGATTTCAATAAATCTTGTATCACTGATTGATGTCTCTCCTCCAAACTCAATTATCCAATGAGTGGTCTGTGTCTCGCTCCAAACTGAGAGAGAATGATACTCTCTATCAGTGACACTGTGTGGTATATTAGTCTATATAATTTAAAATAATGATAAAATAATATATCTGGTTAATAAAAATGATATTTCTCTCCTCCTCCTTTCTCCTCCATTGTCAATCACACTCACAAAAATGACAACAAAGGCAAGCTTCATGAGCTCTTTCTTAAAAACTACTCATAGCATAATCTTTCATTTCTTTATCATATGCACATGTCTATACTGACCAGTTGTACTGTATTAAATTGATTATCATTGAGGATTGACGTACATGTACATGTACAGACAGACAGATCACAGTGGTCTCGTGCTAGTAGGACTCACTCATGCTCACCACAATTATATTATAATACTTACCAGTTCTTTCCATTCCATTTTGTTTATATTTAACAACCAACAGTCACTGGTACCAAATCCACCCACCACTAGTATGTGTGGTCCTGAGCTACAGTTGATCAATACACTGGAATGAATACTTCTCTCCTTAGGCCATTGTACTGATTCTCCAGGATTAGAAAACTTTGTACATTTCTAAAATATTATAAATATTTAATTATCATAAAACACACACAATACATTAACTAATACTTTAGGATAAATACTGTAGGACTATATACATGTATTCGCATGCAGTAATAATTAAAAACCATGGAAACCGAAATAATATTCTAATTGAAAACGGTGCAACCATAGATATAATACACGGAACGGGATTAGAAACAGGATCATGTGAGTGCATTATCCATTGAAACACTCCTAGTTATATCGGAGCTCAGTGTAGCTGCTTGACTATTGCTGGGAGCCCCAACTGTCCCTTTTCAAAAAGTTTGTGGGACTCTAGCAACTATAGGAGATGACAAGACGCACTAGTATGAGCTTTTATGGCTACTCTCTGAGGATCTTTAGTGCATTAAGACATTTATTAGTGCTTACACAGAAGTTTTAGAAAGTTATGGCATGTCAAAACCAAAGGCCATATTTCAATGGCGTCAGTACTCTAAAACTATTAAACACAGTCCATAAAAAATCACAGTGTACTGTAAGAGGTTAAGAAGTAACCATAGAAGCAGATACATGTATTTAGTTATTATACTATCAGATATTGTCTGGAGAGTCCCACAAAGTATCTCCATTCATCTCGATTATGGGATCGGTTCCTGGCAAACTAGGAGTGTTTCAATGGATAATGCGCTCACGTGATCCTGTTTCTAATCCTGTTAATTCAGTGTATTATATCTATGGTGCAACATTGAAACAGTTATTTTAAAGAAATCAAAAATTAAGACCTTTTCACCAAAAACATGAAATTCTGTATCCTCAAAATTTTACAACCTGTATGGTATCCATTTAAGAGCATACATGTAACTCTACCCCACTACTAAGGCCCTCCTTCATTGTTTACACAAGTACATGTAGCTATTATTAGTCACTGGTTAAATTAGGGTTTTTAAGTACACCTGCAAGTCGCAATTAATACCTATCCTAAGCCTAAGGTAATTAGTATAATTATACTAATAATACACTCACCACTGATGTATCAGTAAATTCAAATACATATACATCATTACTCCATCTTTCACCATCATAACCACCAAACAATATAGCAGTGGTATTAGTTATTGATGTTAAAGTTAAGCCATTAATAGGAGGTGGTCTGTCTCCAGTGACTGTCGGCGAAGTCCATTCACCTAAAAATAATAAAAATAACACACACACACACACTGCCCTCAAGTAGTTCCTGGGCTCAAATAGACACCCTCCATTGGCAAAAATATATCTACTGCCCTCCATTAAATGGCACATTATGATAAAATGGTGGAACACTACTAGTCACGTACACTATGGCTACCTTTGCTCAAGTTAATCAAGTCTACCTTATATTGTATAGACTGTGTGGTAGCTCTTTATGGCAGATACCAGACCCTTGACCTTGGTTTCAGCTGTGGGTCAGCTATCTGCCATAAACAGTGACTAAATACATCAATTTAATTACTACATATAAACTACATTTATGAACCTAATATCATATTTTACTGACCAGTTTTTAATCTGTACATATGAACTTCATTGCAACGTTGATAACCATAAGATTCACTGTACTGGGCACCAGGTTGTGGTGGGGTATTATTAGAAGATGATCCAAACCCTCCAATCACTGCAAGATAGTCCTCATCTTTCACTTTTATTGCTATCATGCTGGAGCCAGACTTCATCATAGGACCATGATGAGATGTAGTAGGCCAGAGTTCCTTCCAATTGAAAGTATCAACATTAAAACTGTATAAAATATTATATAATATTTATCAGTAACTATTTTGTTTACCTGTATAAACTATTATGAAAACAGTCACCATGACCACAATCTCCTCCAAAAAAGAATATTTCATTTCTAATGACAGCAGCAGCATAGTTATGGACACCAAGTGGTGGGTCAGCAATGGTAGGCTTTTGTACCCACTCACCAGTTGGTACATGACAGACCTCAACTACAGAACACATCGATTTCTTCTTCTCATTATCGTGTACTAAAGGGAGATCAGGCTGCCTCCCACCCCACATGTACAGGTAGTCTCCTACCTGTACTGTAGAGTGACGGTCCCTCTTCACTGGTTGATAGACTATAAATAACATGAGGACACAGTAATATAGTGAATAATTATAAAAAGCAGAGGATACAGAGGAGTAAAGTAAGGGAGAGAATAAGAAAGAAAGAAAAGAGAATAAAGTTACTCACCTTCCATCTAGTCTCCCTTCCATCCACTACACTAACGCAACATCATGGCAACATAAAAAATGTAGTGAGCCACGCCCTAAATTAACTGAAGATAATTCACTTTCCAGCATTCATTCATGATGACTGATGATTGCCTAAACTATAAATTATAGCTAGCAGTCATTGTCAAAATGAAAGCAGTGCTATTATCAACAAAAATCAGCAACAATTCCAGTTCTAGGACATAGCATTAACTATTAACTATCAATATTATTATTATAACACACTTGTGGGATAAAACACAAACCACCACAGAACTTTGAAGTGGTGCCATGAACACATAATCAAATAGTCACATATAACACACAATAAAATAATCATCTGTCAAATCGGTAGTATATAGCTATGTCATCATCTGAAATTGGACGAGGACCATATCTAGCTACTATACTTTACAATAGTCATTGTAGATCTTCTTATTCTCTTCCGATACTGTGGGTGGGGTTATTTGAAAACTGTTGTCCGTACTGTAGGCAGAGGTTGGTTTCCAGAGGAGCTTCTCTTCTTGGACCTTCTTTGCTGTGAGTGTTAGGTCTTCATCAGTTTGTGGTTCAAGAGGAATGCAGGATAACTGGTACAACCTGTCAAACCTGTTTTAGAGAAACAACAGGTTTTAAATTTTTATGGGGAAAGACCAAGTGTAGATAGTACACATGGCAAAATATCTTAAAGATAAAAAAGGACTCGTAATTCAAAAATTGTAATCAGAATCAGCTTAAACTTTCTACATAGCATATTATAAAGACACCAGACAATAGTTAGTAATAGCTACATGTTCTCTGGATAAATCTTGAGTATATTTTAAAGGTTAAACTGTTTCATTATTTCACAATTCCCTCAGTAGTATAATTGTTATTACCTTTCATAAGTCTTCATATCCTCTTTTGAAGGATCCCTACACTCAAACCCATAGTAATCAATAGAACTGAGGAGTCCATTGGGAGTACATAAGAAGTGAAGGAGTGAGTGTTAGTAGTGACATTAGAGTCTTGTTGTTTGGGTGAGTACTGATCACCAGTCCTCTCATCCTTAGCCTCACTGTCTGATGAATACTCATCAGCTTCTGCTGGCTCAGTCTGTGGTATACCAACACTGAATCCTCTTTTAGCAGCCATCTTGGAACTACTGGAGCTATAGGGAGAGAGGGAGAGAGAGTGGGAGGGAGAGAGGGGGAGGGAGAGAGGGGGAGGGGGAGGGAGAGAGGGGGAGGGAGAGAGGGGGAGGGAGAGAGGGGGAGGGAGAGAGGGAGGGAGGGAGGGAGAAAGGACTGTATTATTGTACAGTGAAGGGACTAAAATTTGGACCATTTTTGTATTTTATTACAGTCACGTTACTGATATCAAAATCACTAATAGTAAGGTACATGTACATCAGGTGTCACAGACTTTGGGTTTAGGTTGTAGTAGAGAATCTTAATAATACTGTTTCATGAACATGTAAGATTGTGATTAACCTGATGTGTATGTGTGTGAGTGGGTAGTTACTATATAATTAATTATGTATATATCTTACTTCCTAATAAGGACTACCATTACTACACATTAATGAACCATTAATTAAAAACTACTCAATCATAAATCAATACATCACACACACACACAGAGGTGTTGCATACGTTATTGTCAGAAAAAGCTCCAACTTTCTGGAGAAAATGTAATAAAAACTGGGGGTGATTTCAGAGCCATTTTTTGGGAAAAACCATGGGCTATAGTACAGAATAATGTTTTCAAAATTTTAGCATATGGTTGTAACTTGAAAAATTGAAGTTGGAATCAGCCAAAATATAAATTTATTAGTCAAAAATTTCTGTCATCACCCACCTCTAAGAGTTTAACAGTCCAATGGCCATTCATACAATACTTCACTATAATACAATGAATAAGTGAATATGTACAATGTACATGTACAGTGTATACTATTATGATAATTCATTATCTCCAGGTATTTCCTTTGTGAGTGGGTAGTTACTACACTACTAGCTTATCACAACCAACACCTGCCACTATCACTATTATACTCACACACACCTACTCACACACACAGGACAATGTTCATAACACAGAAATTACGTGTGACTTATCAGAATCAGCTCAAACTTACTACACAGCATAAGGACTTCAATATGTATCAGAAAATTGTAATTAAAATTTGGGGTGATTTTAGAGCCAGTTTTTAGAAAAAAACGATGATCTATTATAGTCTTGGGTAATACATGTACATGTACATTAATACCTTGTGCAGTGTATCTGTTGGTCCCATCATTAACCAGTATATTATAAAACGGTTCGTTTGGTTCCAGTGGTAGCTGATCCACTCCATTTGATGTATCCAGTCTTCAGTCACCTCACAGGTACAATCCCATCCATAGATCACAATATAATAATCATATCTACAATGAACATGTACATGTATAACATTTATTAGTGCAGTAATATCCTATAACACTTTATTTTGGTGATTTTGCTCTAAAAATGTAATTGGAGGTTTTTAATTTGGTGGTTTTCAAGTACACGTGCATCACTGATCATGGACATTAATGATTGGCTGGTTTAATATTGGGGGGACTGAACTGGCAAATCACCAATTGCCAAAATAAAACTCAACCAAATTAAAGCTCCCACTGGTAGTATTAATAATAGATTCACTGACCTAAAGTGGTTCATTATTAATCCTATGTCATATTGAATGTACTGGATCAACTGATTCAACCTGTAGTAATAATAATAGTTAGTATTATAATTATAATAATTTGACAATGTACATGTACATGTAATAATTTTTATATACATTTGTACATGTACATGTACTTTAATTTACACCACTTCCCCTTGGCCCCTAGCCCCGCCCCTCTCACCCTGGTTGGTTCTTGAAGTGCTTTCCTCTTCCTGTCTAACAGATAATGTCCTCTTTGTAGTTTAGTTAACACGTGGGCCATGATACACTCAAGTACCATATCTGATAACACCCAAACAACCTATCAACAACAATAAACAACAACAAATGATATGTTATCATGTACATGTACATGCACCATACATGTTGTATTACAAGTACTCTTATCATCTAATGCTTGCTAGCTAAATTACCATAACTTGTACAGTAGCTTTTAAAAATGGATTGTTTCTTTTAGCCCAATTAAGCATTCCTTTAAAATAATAGTTCAATTACCTTCGGCCAACGTAAAGTATATACATGTATATCTACATGTAAATGTACATGTACATGTATATCATTTAGATGTTAAAGTCATGTTTATACATGTATATACTAGTAGAGGTACTTGTTAGAGGTTAAGCCTCAGGTGGGTCCAATGTTAGCTGAACTGATGAGACTTGACAAGTTAAGGGACTCACTGGAGGCACCAACATAAGGAGAGGGAGTGAGAAGAGGAGGACAAGAGGACTGACCCTGTAATTAAGAGGAATAATTAGGAAACTATATAATATGTATCAGGAAATGTAATAAAAATGAAGAATTCTCTTTTTTTATTTTTGACAAAATTTGGCCAAAGACCCTGTACTATAGTACAGAGACTTTGGCCTAATTTTTGAGATTTGTAAAAATCCAATTTTTAATCGGAATGAGCTCAAACTTTCTACACAACATAAGTACATGTACATGCTTATCTTACCACTGGTTCTTTTCATCGTTCCATTGTCTGCCAACATCAAAATTAATAGATCTTCTCAGATAAATATTAGCAACCATCCTTATCATGACCTGTGAGAAAAATGAGAATATTTTTAATAATAATAATAATAATAATAATATATAATTATAACATTACATGTAATACATGTAATAAATGTAATGTAACACATACATGTACATGTATACATGAATCTTACCTTATAAGGATCCACTGGAGGGTTGATCATACATGTATGAGGTGATGGTATAATCAGTAATGGTAATAGTCACAGCTACTCCTCCTCATTCAATAGCTGACCTCTCCTCTAAGGACCAATGAATACCTCACCATCACCTCTAGTAATATTAATAAAAACAGACTGTAATTAATAATATGTACATCTAAATAGATGTACATGTAAATTTCTTGACAATATTTCATTAAATTCAGGCTATACATTGTACAGTACATGTACATGTACATCAAAATCACTAATAGTAAGGTACAGTCTCGGGGGACCAGACTCAATTTTATAGAATAGGGTCTGGAACCTTGCTTGATATCAACCAGTGGGCTCAATGTTTTGAATTGCACGAGCAAAGAATGTTAATCTCTGTAAACATGCCCACACTCCACAATATTGGACTCACTAGTGGATTCATTATTATACTGATCATACTCAACTTGCTTGCTCACATCAAGAAAAATGAAGCAGTAAAGATCTTTCAATTTTTTGCTTTTCTCGGCAGTACTGAAGTTAGAGCAATCATGGCACCTGAATTCATCTCAGAATTCATGGACATTATTTCAAGAGAGGAAGCTAGAAGCATTCTTTTACTTGCCTAATGGTCTATCAATCAGAGCAGATCAAGGGGATCCAGTGGAAGGTGTGGTCATTGATAGATAGATACAGGTATCATAAGAAAGGAGGAGCATAATAGCTCAGACATGACACTGGACTAACGTTGTGTGGGCAGTAACCATGGTAACAGTAATTTCATTGAGTTGACCGAATTCCACCAGAGAAGCACTAGTTGATATTAAGACATGAAGCCAGACTCTATTCTAATAATTGAGTCTGACCCGTGAGACTAACAGTAAGGTACTGTACATGAGGTACCCACAGGATTTTGGGATTTCTACACAGCATAAGGACATCAATATGTATCAGAAAATGTAATAAAAATTTGGCGTGATTTTGGAGCCACTTTTTGAAAAAACCATGGGCTATTATAGCCTTGGGTATTTCTCAGAATTTTGGCATTTTCTTAAAATGGCCGTAACTTTAAAAATTGAAGTCGGAATCAGCTCAAACTTTCTACACAGTATAAGGACATCAATATGTATCAGAAAATGTAATAAAAATTTGGCGTGATTTTGGAGCCAGTTTTGGAAAAAACCATGGGCTATATAGCCTTGGGTATTTTTCAAAATTTTGGGATTTTCTTAAAATGGCCGTAACTCGAAAAATATTTCTTTGAATTAGTTCAAACTTTCTACACAGAATAAGGACATCAATATGTATCAGGAAACGTAATTAAAATTTCGCGTGATTTCGGAGCCATTTTTTGGAAAAAAACCATGGGCTTGGGTATTTTTTAGAATTTTGGCATTTTCTTAAAATGGCTGTAACTCGAAAAATTGAAGCTGGAATCAGTTCAAACTTTCTACAAAGCATAAGGACATCAATATGTATCAGAAAATGTAATGAAAATTTGGGATGATTTCGGAGCCAGTTTTCAGAAAAAACCATGGGCTATAGCCTTGGGTATTTTTCAGAATTTTGGCATTTTCTTAAAATGGCCGTAACTTCAGAAATCAAAGTCGGAATCAGCTCAAACTTTCTACAAAGCATAAGGACGTCAATATGTATCAGAAAATGTGATAAAAATTTGGGGTGATTTTGGAGCCATTTTTTGAAAAAAACCATGGACAAAATTATTGTTGTTCCAATATCAGACAAAAGTCCTTGTACTATAGTAAAGGGACTTTGCTCAAATTTCACCAAAATTGAAAAGGACACAATTTTCCATTATTCATACATTCCCCGATACATGTACATGTATATTATTAATGTCAGTTACTTTGTTTCTTTCCCAGCCAGTTATTTTAGGAACAGTCAACTAGGAAGAACCCAACACTTTTGTGTTCCGATTGAAAGTCGTTGTAATGAGATACCAAGTGCTGGAGGTCGGAGTCTTTAAAAAAGTATCCAAACGACTAATAGATCTATAAGTGAATGGACTGGAGGGGGAGAGGGCAGGGAATCCAAACCAATAATGAAACAATATTTCTTTAAGTCGGCGTACGTGAGTAACAGGAACGATGTCAAGAGTGAAGGGTTTTTGAGGCAATCACCATTTTTAATACTCTCCAAAATGAGACGACCACAGGTATCAAGTAACTCCTTGTCAATGTTGTTGAAGGAGGCAATTGTGTTCATGTTTCGTAGGAGACCAGGAGATGGGAAGTCTAGTCCAGTAGGCTGGTATCCCACATCAAAAGCAGTATAATCCAGGAATAGGAAAGGAGTGCTAATGTTCCTGTAGTTCTCAATCATAGCTGCCCCTGATAGGGACCGGGTCCTCTCTTAGCTGATACTCTTCGAGTTTCCTCTTCCCTAACTCCTGCCAGTACCCCGGGTCAAGGCTACTCCTGAACGGGAGGAACTACAACAGCTTTAGAACTTTCACCCTCACAACTGGCAACCATTTTGATCCTAGCAGCCACTCCCTTATTGCTTTCTCCCAGCAAACGTATTATCAGATGCACAGCTCCTACTACAGACCTTCCCTACTGGCCAGTCTGAGGCAGTCTCTTAATGGAGCTCTTAAAGTTTTAATGCAAGGAACCAAGGGCGTGGCAATTATTATTTTGAGAGATGGGCTCGGAGGTGGGTAAGGCAAAGATACATTGTACTTGTGATATTGTGAGTAGCTATCAGTGGTTTATATGTAGAATATAGAATAGGCTGCAAGTACAGTGTCATGTACCGTTTCAGAATCTTGAATTTTATCATTGAACTCATCAAGACCAAAGAAATAAAACAATTTTTGACCATCTTCATACCTAGTCTGTTGTTGTAAACGATAAAGGTTAGCATTATTCAAACCAGAGAGAGTACGAGAGAGTTCCTCAATGGTAAGTAAATGAACATTATCAAATTTAATATTGTAAACATGACGGTCCATAGCATACTGAAGAGTCTCAAAAGAGTCAACAACAACACCAGAATTAACATCATTAATAAGTTGTTGAGCACGGCGACTCAATTGCTTAACTTCAGTGGACTTAAGATCAAACAATTGATCACGAGTAATATCAGGATTAGTAAGACGGACGAAATCCAAGATCTCTTCAACATCACGATTGTTTTAGCCCATGGTTTTTTTGCAAAAAATGGCTCCAAAATCACCCCAAATTTTTATTACATTTTCTGACACATATTGATGTACTTATGCTGTGTACAAATTTTGAACTGATCCAGACAGATATTTTTGAGTTATGACCATATAAAAAATCAGCCAGTTTATATATAGCCCATGGTCTTTAAAGAATGGATCTCAAATCACTCTCAATATTGACCCATCTCTTTCTTCATAGGGCCAGCATGTTAAACCCTATCACTTAAGAGTGATGACCACAGCACTCCAACACATTGAATCAAGAGCTCTCTACATGATAACAACACTGAATATTCCAGATACTATTGAGAAAGCAGACAGGCCATTGAGTTGTGAAGAAATTAAAACAATCATTGATGAAGAGATGGGTAAGAGCTAATGAATGATAATAATGTTATTGATATATACTAACAATGTATTGTGCATACAGAGGAATGCAGTTATTAACAAAGCTTTTACATGCTTGTATCTATTATAGTGCTTCCAATAAGAATAATTATTGTAAATTTAGAAAATCACATTTTGCAATTCTATATTCCTAATGTTACTAATGTTAAAAATGAAATTCATTTATCAGTAAAAATTCTACATAATTATTATTTTTATTATTTCTTGAATACCAATAGGTTATGATCCTTTAGACACGTCATACTTGTGTCGTATATTACATGCTGCAGCTCATTTTGAGCTCCTCTCAGAAGAGACCAGTGATGACAAGTACAGTCTAACCCCCATCAGTGAGTACCTCACTGCTAACCATCCTAAGAGTCTTAAGGGATTCGTTAAATTATACTCAAGTACTTAAGAATAATTAAATATTAATTAGTAATAAGCTCTATTGTGCTGCAAGGCCACTCAACATTGTGTAGCATGAATCAAAAAATGAATAAATACACTCTTCTATTTTAAAAATTTTTACAAGCTTGTTTAGGCCTCAATTTAAACCTTGGAGTTTATGCTTGTAACTTTTAAAGATAAAATTAACAATTTTTAATGTATTTATTGTATCAAACTGTGATCCATTGTTATTCTTCAGTAAGTAATGAGTCATTGATAATCAGTACTGCCCTCTCTCGGAATCTCTACAGTGGTAATTCTGGCTTTAAGGAAGTCTACAGGAAAGAATTATTAGAACATTTAAAAACTGACCCTCTTCTCCAAGACCTTCATGATGCTGGAATGGCCAACACCTCTCGACTCAACGCCCCCGCAATAATTACGGATTATCCATATTTGGGATCTTGTTCTCATATATGTGACATTGGTGGTGGACTGGGGTCATTCCTGTATGCTGTACTCAGTCATTATGATTTTAAGATGAAAGGAACTAACTTTGATCTACCTGATGTCATTGATAATTCAAAGTGAGGAACTGATAGTGTTTTGTCATCTTAAACACACTGTACATGCTGTATAATATAGTGCAAAATTTTTTAGGGCTGTAAATTTCATGGATTTTGCAATTTTTGTAAAAATTATTTCTGCAAAAATCATATTATTTATGTTATAAGATGGCAGACAGCATAAATTTGTGAAAATTACATCCGCAAAATTTTAAAGCAAATTAGCAAAATTTACAGCCCTCAAAAATAATTTTGCACTATACAGTAATAGCAAGTAATTCTAGCTTTGACAGTTACAATACACTGCATGGTTGGTCTTAATTTTTTTGTTTTTTCTCTCTTTTTAATTATCAGAGATATAATGTGAAAGTTAGGAGTACATTTCACTTGTGTCTGGTAATTTTACTGGCAACATACTACAATTTGAGTAAGAACAATAAAACAATAATTATCAATAATAATCATCCTCTCTCCCTCTCTCAGTTGTGATTGTTATATTTTAAAGGATATTCTACAGAATTGGTCAGATGAAGATGCTCTGCTGATATTATCTAAAGTTGAATCAGTTGCTAAGAGAAATAAGAGTCGTCTTGTGATTATTGAGAACATGATGCACACTGGCCACCAGCAGAAGAGAAGGTAAGAGAGAGAGAGAGAGATTGAAGCCAAAGACCCTGTACTATAGTACAGGGTCTTTGGCCCAATTTTGGGGCATCTTTGAAAATTTGTAAAAAATCGAAATTTAATTTAAATTAGCTCAAATTTTCTACGCAACATAAGTACATGTAAATTCAACAAAAATGGAGAATTCTCTCCTTTTGCAATTCGGCCTGTGACCCTGTACCATTGTAGAGGGATTGGTCATAATTTAGTCAAACTTGTACACTAAAACACAATATTATGTGTTTCAGTGCACAATGTTTGACCAAACTGTATGTACATGTACATGCTTGAATCTATTTTTCTTTTTCCTCTTTCTCTTTCTCTATTTCTATTTCAGTTAAAGTCATTTCTTGATCTCACTATGATGTCATTCAATCCGTCACATTCTCATCTCCATACAGTTGATGAATTGTTCTTTCTTCTTCAAGCGACAGGTTTCACAGATCCACAGCTTTACTTCACTCATACTACCTACAACGTCATTGAAACCTATCCAAAACTAATCAGTGATAGGTGGAGGCAGGGGTGTGGCTTCAAGTAATATAAACCATATATGGAAATATTGTTAATACAATGAAATGATCATTAATGTACATGTGTTATCAATTCTGTATCTAATTTTTTGTGATTATTATTTTAAAATATAGTTCATCGCCTTCTTTATAATTCTTTATTTTCATTATATCTCCTGATGCATGTAAACTATTTTTAACTTTCATTGCATTGAAAGCATTTAGTGGAAGAGGATCAAGTCATGAAGTTTTAGCTATAAATACGTTTGTACACATGCTGTATAATGTAATCCCTCAATAGTATAGTCATTAAGTTGTTGTGAAGCTTTCTCCAAATGACTGCTCCCCATGCATTAATGTTTAGAAATTGGCCTATCAGCTTTCAAGCAAATCCCAATAAGTATATTCCATAGAAAGTGAACAGTAACTATCAGTTGTTGCATTATGATGGCTCCTCACTTGTATGATTGGCAAAATAATGTATTGTAAAATTAAGAAGATACAAAAAGAATAACTTATAATAATTCCATGTATTATAAGCACACAGGCAAATGAAATGCATAATGTAGAGTGCTAGTATAAGTGTGTGTACATGCATGTATAATTATCATTATTAATAATTATCACAGGCTCTGTCTGATGATAGGAATCCTTCCACTTTAGCTTTTACTCTTCCAAGTTCCTCTGGATAATCATCACAAACTTGAAGTACTTTCCTCCAGGTCACTCCTTTATCAGAGTCTATCCATCTCTTGAATACTAGTATGAGGTTAGTAGTAGCAGCCCCTGGAGTAGGTGGCAGGTCATCCACTTCAACATCAAGTGCAGTACCAATGATCATGTAATGGGCAGCAGAACTTTTGAATAACCTAACGAGGTCACTCTTTTCAGGCTTCTTGTCTAACAGGAGGTCTGCATTAAAATAATAGCAATATAAAGCAATAATATGATAAAAATAAAGTTAACAGTTCCTTACTTTTATATGATGATTGGTCATGAACTTGTTTTGTTTGTGTTCCATTGTTACTCTCAACAGGTCCTATACACAAGTGATAAATTATAAATAATAATCATTAGCATACACATACCTGATTCAAACCAGTACCAATGATCACTACTGATAGTAGCTGACACTGGACAAACTGTACAATTGA